AGAATGGAATAGAACCAAACATAAAATAAAGTTTCATTAAATTAATTTTACCCAATTTTGTGGGAAACAATTTGGGGTTTTATCTTTTTAATGCCAATGATCCCTTTCCATTTCATTTATTTTATTTATGAAAAATTCAAAGCATAGCATGGCATATAATTGTTTTTGCTTTGTAACCAAAAGGGAGAAAAAAATTGTTATCTAAATTAGAGTCGATCCTATGAAGTTCCTAAAGTCACATGAAATAGTAGGCTCCAAATTATTATTTTTTATTAATAATGTCAAAAATTGTATCTTGTCTTATGAACGTTGATTGGAACTATAAAATAGCTATTTGCCGAAAATACTAGTAAAGCAATTGCAACAAAACCAAAAGTCATTCCCTAATTGTGTTATTAATATTGTACCGGTCATCAAACTGGTAGGGGTATTGATACAATGATATAGTGGTTTAATCAGTGATTCACTAATTAAACCGCATACCGATAAAGTTAGATATACATGTATAATATATTAACATTAATGTTGAAAAAATCAATAAAAAACAATAATTATTTTTATTTTCATTAAAAAATTAATTTTAAATAAAAATCGACCGGTATGACCGATACGGTTCAATTGAAAACCGGGTGGTATGACCGGTTTTTACCGATTTTGGTCGGTTTTTACAGGTATAATTGCATGACTGTTATAATTATTGTATCGTACTGATATTGGGACCAGTTCACCGGTTTACCGATTCAACCGTGTAACACAAAATAGTTTTAATAACTATACTAATTCTAACCAAATTAAGTGATTATATTCATGTTAAACCAAATTAAATATATTTATACTACAAATTAGATCTACATGATAATCCCAAAAAAACCCACATGAATAATATCACTAATTCACTACGTAAGCCATAATTAAGGTTGGGTATTTGTCACTTTCAGATTGCTTTCATTTCCCTTCTCTTACTATACTCTTATTTCTTGCCTTCATTCATATTACTTTAATTATTATTTTGGTCAACATTTATTTTATTGTATTTCTATGGTTGTTCTACTTTTTTTCTCACTTGAATCAATGCATGGACACGTTTATGGCCATTACCATATGAATACATCTTCTATTTTTTTAATTTTATATTGACTTAATTATAGAGTTTAATATATATGCAACAAGAATATAAAAGTTTTTTACTCTATTAATCCAACATTTATCATTATTCATACATTAGTTATTATGAATGGTTCTTAAATAAAAATAAAATATATTAGTAATAAACAATATCTATCTATACTATTAGTAAAATCAAAACTCAAAATAACTACTCATCATATGTAATTTGTGATTCCCAATTTTGCTCTCACTATATTCTAATTTCTACCAAAAAAATCATATAACCCAATGGTATAATTTTCTAATTTTAATTTAGCTCTTATGGTAATTACCTACATCCAAAACTCTTAAACGATTTCTCTCATGTTTTATCTCATCATTTTTCTCCTCTCATTCTCCACAATCGATTCATTCATTAAGATTGAGTAATTACCCTAATTGAATATATTCAAATTCAAATTAAAATATCTAACACAATTTACTATATTAAATATTTATTGTACATAAAGTAAACATTACAAATAATAAGAAAACAAGTTGACAGACACGACAATATCCATCATCACGCTAGTATTAATTATGTAAAAACTTATGTAATAATAATACATAAATATTAAATAGTTAAATTATATACATTTATTGACTATTTGGCATCATAATTGAGATGTCTAAATAAAGATCATAATGCCAAATTGATGGGCTATTAGTAATAAGACCACATAAATGATTGGCCAGCATGTCCTAGTTTTTTAATAGAGAATAAAGTATGAAGACCACATATGTTTTCTTACCTGGAAATAATATATATTTTTTTGGTATAAGGAGATATTTTATTCTCATCCATAAAAATATAAATAAATAGATTTCATCTCTCTTAGAGGACATACTTTCTATTATTTATTGGACACAAATGTAATATTTATGTATTGTCAGTATAAAGATTTATATATAGACAATATATCATACATTATTCATTTTTATTACTTTTTTTGAAGAGTGAATAATAATTAAACATAAATAGTGAATGATACAGTGACAGATACATTGTTAGTGACAAATACATTGTTAGTGAATAATTTTTTCCTCTAGAAAGAAATATAAGTACCATGATTTTTTTCCATAACTTATTTAATTTAAAACTTATAATTCTCCATTGGTTCTAAAAAAAAGTAGATGAGAAGAATTATATTCAAACTTAGATGTTACATTAATAATTTTATAAAAACGATTTCATATTAATAACATTAGTGTCCATGAAAATGATTGTATTGCTTTGTTTTATGGCTATTAGCTTTGTATGATGTGAGGTTCAAGACAACAATCATCATAAAATTTGTCGATGATTGCATAAATTTATCAAAACTAACATTGAACGAAACTAAATCATTTTCTCTTAAATGAATTGAATAAATAAAGATATTTGAGTAACAAATTAAGTTGAAGATTAATGGTGCTTATGCTTTGAAGACATGGGGGCAAAACACATGGGTAGAAGGTTGGGGATATAAGTTGAAGAATGATCATTAAAAATTGAGTCCCCATATCTTAAGTCAATTATATTCTATTAAATAATAAAAATAAACTATTTTTTGTTTTTATGATTTTTTTCTTAAATAGTTAATATTTTTTCATTGGATTAAGACATAATAGAACACCAAATATTAAGAGATGATGTTCATTTATATAGTTGAACATGAAAGTCATGACTCTAGAGTAAAACAAATCCACTGCAAATCCTTATTGGTGCGTCAAGCACCATAATCTCAGTGCTTATAAATTGCCAAACAAAGAATGTAAAGGTTTGTATTTACTATAATCTCATTATTGTTTCTGGATATTATAAAGATGTTGATATTGGGTTGAGGAGTGGTGTAGGTCGTTTTCTTTGAGATGTTTGTGACACTTTGCTCAAGTGTGCAAACACTTGTTAGTAATTGTGCTATCTATTGGGAAGTAAGTTTTATTGTTTACCTCATTGTCTCGGGAATGGTTTAAATATCTATTGGGCTACTTCTCTCATAGTCGATTTCTTTTGAAATGGAACTTTAACATGGTATGAGAGTTAGAGCTCAACTTCTTTCCGGTTCTCATAGGCCAAAAGATATCATTTGGTTATGGGTAAAAGGTAACCTTTCGCCTGATCCAGCAAACTTATGTGGAGGGGAGAAGTTGGGAAGTAAGTCTCATATCGCCTACCTCATTATCTCGGGAATGGTTTAAATACCTATTGAGTTAATCCTCTCGTAGCCAATTAATTGGTTTTGAGATGAAACCTTAACATTATCATCATAATAAAACGGCCTTTCAATGGCTCAAACTACACCTTCATTTATATGGACTTCAACATGATTTAAAGTGTGGCCTAACCTTCCAAAGCTAACGCCAACCAGAGGATCTAGGAATCCATAAAGTCCAGAATGAAGCAACCGTAATCTTGTTACACGCATAGCCAAAATCTTGGAAAAGCTTTATAGAATAAGATGTTGTAAGATATAGTACATGAATCACTAATAGTAACAAGAGAAACAACTATTATTTGTCCATGTATAATCAACAGTTGAAAAAACAAAATAACAAAGATCTGTTGTCCCAAAGCATCTTTCAAAACATGTTGCACGACTATTCGTTCGTGTGGTGACAGAAGGCTGAGTCGGGCAGCAACCAGACTAGGGATCTTCTCGTAGGGTCGGAGCTGAGTCTGGGATGGGTAATAGCCGGTCAGGATCTTCCTGTGCTCTTCGAGATGAGTCTGGGGCGTGTGGTGACAGAAGGCTGAGTCGGGCAATAGCTGGACAAGATCTTCCTAGATGACTGAGGATAGTGACAGACGGAGATATACTCTGACCGAGGGAGATATACTTTGAAAATATACTTTGACGATCAAGTCAGTAGGTGACTGAGGAGAGTGATAGAGGGAGATAATGACAAGAGTAAATGAGTAATGACTCAAGTTATGAGGGCATATTGATACTTCCTTAATGGGTGGATCCCCTATTTATTGTGAGCTTAGATGAAATTTTCTCTACATGATGTTGTTGGCATGGCCGACCGTTTGAGCTTGTCAATCGTCTTGCTTGATCAGATGGTTGTTTTGCCCGTGTCGGGCGGCTTGGCTAGGCCGTACTATGAGTATTGTTGACTTCTAACTTGTGATAGGCTTTTTAGCCATAGTCTAGACCTGTCATTTCCATAGAATAGGAGGTTAGGTGAGAGTTGCAGGCGACATGCAGCAGGTGTCTGTTGTAGGTGGTGTTGCAGCCCTGTGTTTGGGCGACGATATGTCTTCCGATGTTGTTCGATTGGTCGACTTGTATCATAAGTCCTTATACTATAATTCCTTGTCAGGTGTTCGACCGTGGTTGACTTTGAGTACCCAAACCCGGTCAAGGTGAGGGCCGTTTGACCGGGGTGGAACATCGACGTTGAAGTAAAAACAGAAAAAATAATGAATATTAACTTTTTTAATTGACATGATATGTTTTTATTGGTGCGATACATGATTTGGAACAATATTGTTGTTATGGAGAAACATCAACATTCCTACACTAACATTATCAAAATGGACCTTTTGGCATGGTAGGAAAAGAACCCAAAAGAATAACAGATGTTCAAGGAGTTTGGACATTTAAACAAGCCACATTTGGTTTATAAAACCATGATCAAGTTTGATTCAAATGGTATCATTATAATTGTGATTCGGTGTTACACCATAATTGCTTTGCAATTCAATTGTATTAGTTACCACAACAAGAAGAGTGTAATATCTATGTACTATCAATGCATACAGTTTTTCCCAACAAGAATATTGTAGCGGTATCAAGTAATATGGTTTAAAACAATGATAACGCTTTTGATTGAACCAATGATATGTAAGTTCAGCTGATAATAACGTTTGAAGAAGGGCTTGAACCTTCGACCTTATAGTTATGTCACAGGCTCTAACCAACTAAGCTATTTCGGGCGCAACAAAAACTTATTCATACTTCCTTCTTAATAGATTAGCATAAGGGTGCAAAGATTGTAAATTCAATTCATTTACTTAATACATTGAACATTAATGGTTAATAATATACATAATATGATGGTTGATCTTTGAATCTATTACAGATTCTCTAAGTTTCAAGGTTGATTGTGCTCAAATTTCTTCTGTGCTAAGAATTTAGTTTCAAATCCAAGACTCAGAAACATAGAAGCCATGCATCTAAGAAAGGTTTGGAATCTGATTTAGTGGTCTGCAATAAGACTACTCGTCGTTCTTCCACACACGGCGGAGGAGTTCGTATCGAACACGAGATTCATAATGAATTGCTTTCGACTTCGACAAGGAGCCAGTGAGAAACATTGAAGATAATGGAGAGTTCAATTCATCGAGGTCATCATCACTGGAGTATGACTTCATGACAATTGAAGATATGCTTCTTTGAAGCTTAGATTTGCTTCCAATCTCTCCAAATATACTTGCAGTGGAAGTTACTGAGGGAGGTGAATATACAATTGGAGCTGCAATGCATGGGAAGTTGTTGACATACTCCTTTCCAACCTCGGTATCATCCTGTATCAAATTTAAAAGAACACTATCAAGAATTCGATTCCTGTGACGATACTTGTCGGAAGGGGCAGTCACGTACCCAAAAGATTAAAAAGAACACTAAGGGATCGGAGTCAAATCTGTTGAAGTTTCATTCAATAATCATAAACAATGTTGTATATCAAACTTTTATGCATATCATGAGAAATATGTCAAAATCCTACAGATTATGTGATGGAAAACTTATGCATACATATAGTTATCTTACCGCAGAGTCCAGAGCTTCAAAAACGGTAGTAGGAACAGGATCAGGGCAAAACTCATCTGGGACAAAATTGTGTAGAATCTTCTTAACAAGTGATGCACTAAACATTGGGCATACCTTCAAAAACAAGAATCCTGTAAGCATGAGTGAAGAGAAAGAAACTTGCAACAAGTTAGAAACTTGATGAATAGGAGTTCAATTTCATTGGCAAACCTCTTTCCTGATTGATGCATGCAACAGCATATCCTTAGGAAGCATCAGGAGGTCACTTAGTGCATTAAGAATATTGAAGGATTTTAAGGATATATTTTGTCTCTCATCGTTGTTATCAGGGTCATCTTTATCTTCAAGTGAGTCATCATCGTCCATGCCGAATAGATCAGTCAACCATCTAGACCAGTTTCCAACCTGACAAATTAAAAACATAAATGAAAAGCCATATTCAACAGATGTTTGTCCAATTCCGGGCCAAAAGCCATATTCCATGGCTGCTTGCACACACTTTCGAAATATAAAAGAGAGATATCAAAAGAAAGAAAGGCACAACTTGAAGCTACATTTTGCTGCAGGGTGTAATTAACTTCAAGAATGGATGCCTAGATGTTGAAGTTCATATATGAAAACTACTGAGAACTGAGAAGTTACCACAGTTTTTAGCTGCGCACCGGCTCCAAAGCTTGATTTCCCGGGTTGAATGGGGAGAACCTTGGGATCACTAATAGGATCAGATACAGGATCATTCGGCATTTCGTCAGCAGATTCACGAAGAATAGCATTGAACATAGCCACATCTAATCTTGCCACGCACTGCTCCATTATCTAAAGTGATTATGATGGAGGAAAAGAAGGGCTTTCATTGACTAAAGTGATGAATTTAGATACAACATTTTTTGGATGTAAAGATATTAATTTTGAAGTGAGGAAAACACATTGTGCATGGAAATTTTGCACAAATCTTCAGACATGGTTTATGACAAATAACTTAAATTTTCTTGTAGCACAAGTATATGGTTGGGGGGAACTAAATAAGACTAACCAATCTCGGCAGCATAGGCAAGCATCCACAGTCATGCCCTTCAGCTCTAATAGGACAGATCCTTCCACAGGCTTCCCTAAAGGCATTCTTCCAAATATTTAGTGACAAGTTTCCCTGCTCATGATCACTTGAGCTAGTTATCCTTCCATAACTTTTCCTTCCGGTAGAACTCGCATTTGTGTCGGTCAAGTTTGTATCAATCTGCATATGTGGAGTCAAGGTCTGGATATAGACAAGGGAAGATTAATGCTATATATCATTGGAACATTCTGATATTTAATCATCAGCTAGTAATGAAGCCTTATGATTTTTAAAATGGAAGATAACATTAAGGAACTACCTGCCACCAGATAGATTCGACAATCCGAGAGAAGATCCAGGCTTCCACCTTTTCCAGTGCTGATATGAATACATGAGGATCATCCCAGTTACCGAAACCTTCATACCCTAATGCTGCGTCATTCTTCGACTTTAGTGAGGATGCTACCTTGCCATACCCCTCTCCCTCACTTTTCCTTCTCCTACTAGATCCAGCAGGATTTGATTGAACCAAATCTTTGATGGTTTGGCTTATAACTGTTCTCAACACTATAGCATTAGATAACCAAAATGTCAACCTGTAGTCATATGCAAGACAACAGTAGAAGTAAACATTTCTTCATTCCGAAGCACCTCGTTTTCAGAGTTAACTAATTTCAGACGATAAAAAAGGAAAACAAAAAAAATCATGATGATGCAACTTTTGATTCTTAGTGCTAATGGATATCTTCATAATGTTAGTTTGTTTAGTGGTAAGATAGTGGGAAAATGCTTAGAATAACATTTAGTACAAGTTGTGGCTCAAATATACCTTGGTACATCATTTCCACTTGCCTTTGTAACAAGTACTAATCCTGATACAGAAGTTTTAGCTGCTCCCAACCTTCTTCCTTGAATGTTTTCCTTACACGCATGAAGATACAGCCTGGAAAGTCGCCGAGCCGGGGCATGGACCTTACTCGTGGAGCGCCCATGCTCAGCAACTACTGAATATAATGCAGCCTCAATAGCAGCAGCTTCTATTAACTCTCCTTCAAGTATCTTTATCTTGTTTTCAAAATGCTGTATTTTCCCTTCTAAAGTGGCATTTCTAGCCTCCTTTTGATAAATCATAGCTTTGTCATTTCTTCTGATATTCCCTCCACTGTTTTGTGCATATCCAAGAATGCCATTTTCCTTTACTTCACCATGATGATTGCTACTGAGTGATTCAATATTCCTAGCCGAGTCTGCTGATGATTTTTCGGACTTCATGTTCTTTAATCTTTCACTTCTGACAATATTTCCCCGCATAGCATTATTTGATCCGCCAAAAGAAATTGTATTGCTTCTGCTATCTAGTAAGTTTTGATCTTTGTCACCATGTGTTACCACTTGTTCATCTTCCATGTAACTTCGGCATTTCTCAAGAGAATCGTAATAAATTTTATCGCCGACTTCCTCCTTCACACAATGTTTGTCAGGTTCCTCAAATCTCCGGCTTGATTTGTCATTGCATTCAGAAGTATCTAGAGATGATAAGAGTCTTGAATAAATGTTAAAAGAACTTTCTTTACTCTTTGTTTGAACATCAAATTTATCTCTATAATTACCAATCTTGTCATTAACATTCTGATCCAATTTTTCATGATCACTGCTTTGTGTTCTGCTCCTATAATTTACATCTATATTGTCACAAACTAAAGATGTAGAAGACGAATCGGCACTCGGGGAAACAACTTTCTTTTGGTTTGACAACAAATTATGACTAGGAGGGTTACTTGAACTCCTCTCCAACTTCTCATATCTATCTTGTTGCATCATGTTCAAGTTTTCAACTCTTGTTTCCGAAACCAGTAGATGCTCATTGCCATTAATAACAGTGTTTAGAATTTGTCTTTCTGATCCTTTCTGCAATTCAATTACAATTATTATATTGCAAATAGATGCACACATTATTCTTGTTATACAATAAATGTAAAATTCATGCTAATAGCAATGGGAGATATATGAGTACCTCTTCTAATTTCGGAGTAGTAACTGCTGCCACAGATGAATGTGATGAGAGATCGTCATCTGTAAAAGAGGAAATCTCGGCTTCCTCGGCGTATTCTTCATTTATCAATGCTGATACAGAGCCACCACCATTCTTATCCTTTAACTCCTCTTTTGAAATGCTGTCCTTCGGTGATCGACTCGAGCGAATATGTTCGACAGGCTCAATTTTTATGAACAAAAGTGGCTGATCCGAGTTTCGGTAGCTCCTCTTGCAGTTCATAGGTGCACTAATAGACAATGTCTCTTTAAGTATTCCATAATCTGCCAAGTCTATAATGGCAGTCCCCAACAATTGACCTTTAAGAGTCTTATCTCTTCGCGGCTCGTATAAGTCGAACTCCACGCAGTTTCTTTGGAAAACATCAGCATCAACACCTCTAATTGACATATCTCTCAGCAAAGTTAAAGATAGCCTAAACGACTCGTCGAATTCGATTCTTCCTTCACCTATAACAGAACCAAGTGAAGGGGCAACCAGATTGGTAGAACCTGATGCAGATTCACCATTCTTCCATTGTATGAATACAGCGCGAAGGGATCTCAAGGATTGTGATGGAGGCCATGGCTTAATCTCCTGAATGTGAATAAGGTAATCAATTTTAATGGTGCCACTTCTCCTATTCTTTCCTCTCATGCCTAGAACCATGGCTGCAATGATGAATTCTTCACCAAATGAAATTTTTTACTTAAAACTTTGTTGAATGTACAAAACCAGAAACCCCTTTAAGAGAAACTAGTCATGATGTGAGAGATCAAGATTCATTAACTAAATACATAAGCATGTAAACTGGATGAATACACAAATGCTGAAAATTCTGATGAAAGATCACGAGGTCACAGGTTCCAATCCTGGAAACAGCCTCTCCACTTGCAGCGGTAAGACTGTGTACATCTACCCTCCAAATACAACACTATATCGGAGCCTCGTGCACAAGGCCGACTTTTAGCGATGAAGGATCATATTATCAACAAAGTGCTAAAGTGAAAAATAAAATCAATACAAGATTCAACTTAGAGTATCAACATAATATTGATAATGTAGATGTAGAACAT